TTTATTATACTAGCTCTACAGTACAACTTGAAATTGGGAATTTCAAGCAGTTTGTTTGTTTTTTATTCAGTTGTATTAGCTAAGCAGAGCTTTTGTGTTTCTATATGTAGCTGAAAATTTTCCACTCAAGATCTGTGAACAACTGTGTTGGGATTGCAATGAATCTGTAGATCACTTTTGGTAGGATGGTCATTTTAACTCCGTTTATCCTACTGACCCACGAGTGTGGGAGAGCTTTCCAGCTCCTGCTGTCATTGTCACTTTCATTCTTCAAAGACTTGAAATTTTCATCCATACAAACTGTTCACTTGCTGAGTTAGAGTCACCCCAAGATATTTATATTATTTGAAGCTATTGTGAAAGGTGTTGTTTGCCTGACTTCTTTCTCTGTCCGTTTGCCATCTGTATATTTGTCGGTTAATTTTACATTCCAGCTACTTTTCTAAAAATGTTTATCACTGTAGGAATCCTCTGGTGGAATTTTTAGGGTAACTCATATACACCATATCATCTGCTAATAAAGATAACTTTGACGTCTTCCTTCCCAATTTGTGACCCCTTGATCTCCTTCAGTTGTCTTATTGTCCTAGCTAAGACTTCAAGCACTATACTGAATAGGTATAAAGAGAGTGAACAAACTTGTCTTGTTCCTGATTTTAATGGAGCTGCAGTAAACTGCCTTTATTATGTTAGGTACATTCCTTGTGTCCTTGTATTCCTTGGGCCCCTAATCTCTCCAGGACTTTGACCATGAAGGGGTGTTGGATTTTGTCAAAGGCCTTTGCTGCATCTAATGAGATGTTCATGTGGTTTCTTTTATTTCAGTTTGCTTATATGGTAGATAATGTTTATTGATTTTCATTATTGAGCCATGTGTTTATAAGCTTTCTGTTGTTTCTCTTGTTGTTGGTATTCAGCTTTACTCCATGGTGTCAGATAGGATGGAGTGTGTTATTTCAATTTTCTTGTATTTGTTGAGTTTTTCTTTGTGTCTGAGTATGTGGTCAATTTTGGAGAAAGTTCCATGAGGCACAGAAAAGAAGGTATATTCTTTTGTGTTATGGTGAAACATTTTGTAAAAATCTCTTGAGGTTCAATTGGTATGAGTGGAGTGTCGAAGTCTTCTACTATCAGTGTGTGTGTCAGTGTGTGGTTAAGCTTTTGTAGTGTTTCTTTTACAGACTTGTGCTCTTGTGTCTGGTGCACAATTGTTAATAACTGAAGTGTCCTCTTGGTGGATTTTTCCTTTGAGTATGTAATGTGTTCCCCTATCTCTTCTGAGTAGTTTTGGTTTGAAGTCTATTTTTTCAGATATTAAAATAGCTAAACCAGCTGGCTTCTTGGGTATATTTGCCTGAAATATCTTTTTCCAACCCTTTACCCTGAGGTAATGGCCATCCTTTTATGTGGAGCTGTGTTTCTTGGATGCAGCAGAAGGATGGATACTGTTTTCCTATCCATTCTGTTAGCACTTTCTATAGGGATGGATTTGTAGATAAGTATTGCTTAAATATAGCTTTATCATAGAATATCTTATTTCCTTGGTCTATGGTGACTGAAAGTTTTGCTGGTTGTAGTAATCTGGGCTGGCATCTGTGGTCTCTTAGAGTCTGTAGCATATCCATCTAGGCCCTTTTGAGTTTTAGAGTCTCCATTGATAAGTCAGGTGTAATTCTAATAGGTCTGCCTTTATATATTACTTGGTCATTTCCCCTTGTAGTTTTTAATGTTCTTTATTTGTTCTGTACATTAAGTATTTTGATAATTACATGCCAGAGGAACTTTTTTTGGTTCAATCTGTTTGATATTCTTTATGCCTCTTGTACCTTTACAGGTTTCTCCTTCTTTAGGTCAGAAAATTTTCTTTTGATGAAAATATTTTCTGGGCCTTTGGGCTGGGTTTCTTTATCTTTTCTCTAATTCTGTTATTCTTAGATTTGGTCGTTTCATAATGTCTCAGATTTCCTGGATGTTTTGTGCCAGAAGTTTTCAGATTCAACATATTCTTAGACCAGTGTATCCATTTCTTCTATTGTATCTTTGATGCCTGAGATTTTTCTCATCTCTTGTATTCTGTTGAAGCCATCCTCTGTCAGTCCTATTCAAATTCTTAAATCTTTTACTTCCAGAATTGCCTCATTTGGGTTTTCTTTATTGGTTCTGTTTCCATTTTCAGGTCCCGATCAGTTTTATTCATTTCCTCCCACTGTTCCTTTGTGTTTTCCTGGAGTTTTTCAGGGATTTACTCATTTCCTCTTTAAGGACCTCTATCTTCTTCCTACAGACTGTTCTAAGGACTTTGTCTTGTTTTCAGCTATGTTGGGATATTCAAGGCCTGCCTTGGTAGGACAGCTGGGCTTTGGCTGTTACTGTCTTCTTATGCTCATGTCTGGGCATCTGGGATTCAGATGGATGTAGCTCTAGTGCTGATTTCTGTGTATGTTGTTTGTCGGTGGATGGTTTGTCCCTTGGTTTGCGTTTCCTCTCTGAATTTTCAGAGAGTGTGACGGCTGTGTGTTGCTTGGTATGAAGTTTTCTGTGACCCTGTTTCCCTGGCCTGCTCAGCTGGAATGTTCCCAGGGAATGCATGCTGCTGGTTTTGGAAACTAGGACAATGGCATGAGTCAGAGGAAGGAAGGTTGGAGAAGGTCTTTGTGATCCGCTGGAGATGGGTCGCAACTTCAGCAGGTGTCCAGCTATGAAGGTGGGGATGAGACTGGAGGATTGGATCTTGGGGAGCAGGAGAGGTGAGGACCTGCACACAGCCTACCTGCTCCCCTGGCTTAGTGTTAACAGGTGTTTCCTGTCTCAAATAACCACTCTGAAGCTGATAGTGGCGAGAAATGCTCAGCTGATAGCTCAGGCTTGTTACTAGCTAGCTCTTACACTTAAATTAACCCATGCTATTTATGCTTTGCCACATGGCTCAGGGCTTGTTGCCTCGGTTTTTACACATCCCACTTGCTCAGTTGCAGGCTGGTATCTCTCTGACTCTGCCCTTGTCCTTTCCATCATCCTCAGTTTGGTCATTCATCCCGCCTATACTTCCTGCCTGGCTACTGGCCAATCAGCATTTTACTACACCAATTTGAGTGACAAATCTTTACAGTGCACAAGAGGATTACTCCATAGCAGGTTAGCAGCATATGTTTGCTAGGGATGGAGGCTGGGATAAAGCCTAATGTTTTGTTTATTTGTTGGTTCTAATCTATTTTGTATTGTAGTTTTGTGTGTGTGTGTGTGTGTGTGTGTGTGTGTGTGCGCGTGTGTGCGTGTGTGTGCGTGTACGCATGTGTTAGTGCAGTGCTTACTGGGTTCAGAAGAGACCATCACATTCCAGAATTGTGAGCCACTCAGTGAGGGTCCTCTGCAAGTACTGAGCCATCCCCCAGACCCTCTTCAAAGACAATTAGTGGATCCAAGACCAACAGATAAATCACCTAAGTTTATGCCCTCACCACCTGTGCACACCGGTGATTCTACCCTACAAATCGCAGTCTGCTTGGTGCTTGGCTCTCACCTCTGCTTAAAAGCAATCCCAACCTCCGGCAGGGCTGAGGTTGCCCTGTTGTTGACTATGGCGATGGCCCAAACACTTGTACCATGTGGCCCTGTGGGCAGGGAAACCACCCACACCCTAGACTTTGGGACTGACCACTTAACAGCTTTGCCTTGGAGAATGAAGGCAAAAGAGGGTGTGCCAGATTATGTGCCTCAAGAAACCTTGTGTGTTCTAGACAGTTCTAGACAGCCTGTGCCGTCACCTACAGGATGCCGCCAGGCTACCTGCTAGTTCCATGAGAAGAATGGGCAATGCAGGGGATGGGTGGCAGCTGAGCCCAGCGTTGACGAGAGGCCTTGCAGCCCAGCTACCAACACAGACGCAAAGCATTTTGCTCACAGCTGGTTCCATTTGTGACATGAGCAAGGCATGCTTATTGCCACAGCAATACATCATTGGCTCTGTTTTGTTAACATTTATTTTATTGTGTGCATGTGTATGCATGGGCATACATGTGTAAGTTAGAGGACAACTTCATGGAATTGGTTCGCACCTTTCATCATGTGGATTTTGTTATGCTTGGCAACACCTTTTACCCACAGAGCCATCGCCAGGCCTTTATTAGGTGGGTTCTCCTATGCCATATTGTGACAATCAGCCATCAGTCCGTCTGCTTTCTCGTGAATAATAAAATGGATTCCTAAAGGGGTATCTGCAGATCAAGGCCTCCAGTATCTTATTGAAAGGATCAGGAATTGTTAAGTAGGGAGCCAACTTCCTGGTTTTCGGTTTTCTATTAGGTCTGTGACCTGGGTGGCTTGCTTATTTTCTGTGCTATTTTTCAATTGCTGACCGATGAACACTTTTAGATAATCTTGCAAGAAAAGTGAGCCTAGTGGTACAGGCCTTGTAACCTTCAGTTCCCCAGGAGGCCGAGACAGGAGGATTGCCAAGTTCAAGGCAGGCTGAGCAATTATTGAGAGCCCTTCTCAGAAGTGAAAAGAGAGCTGGGGATGGATGGATCTCAGTGGTAGAGCACTCACCTAGCCTGTGCAGATCCCTGGTTCAGCCCTCAGTGCTGCCAAATAAAGGTAAGTGTTTGTTAGTTTCCTATATGTGTACAGTATACCATGGTCATATTCACCCCATCACACTCTGTAATGCCCTTGAACTCCTGCTGACCCCTTCTTCCCAGCTCTTCTCTCTTCTGTGTGTGTGTGTGTGTGTGTGTGTGTGTGTGTGTGTGTGTGTGTACACTTGAGGGCATGTGCAGGGGGAGGGATGACATGGGCACACACAATTTATATAACTTTTCACAGATGCTGTGTGTTCATGATTGCAGCGGCCATACCAGGCCCAGGAGACAGTGTTTCTCTCTGGCTCTTATAGTCTTTCCTTTCCTCCCTCCCTCCTTCCTTCTGTACCTCCCTCCCTCTCTTCCTCCCTCCCTCCTTCTGTCTCTCCCTCCTTTCGTTTCTTCCTTCCTTTCATTTATTCTTAAGGGAGAGCACAAATACAGTTCCCCACTACCTCAAATTATGCAGTCAAGTTTCCTGCATTTGCAAAAATCAAGGAGTCAGCACATCCAGAGTGCAATGTATAAATCTTATCCTGGGAAAACCACCTTGGTGATCCTGGTATGGCCCCTCCCCCTTCTGTGATGCTCCTTGGACTTAGATTGGAACACTCAATGGACACTTCTTCTCAGCATGCTGCCCAGTTATGAGTTTCTGCCATCAACTGTCACCCTCTGTAAAAGCTTTCTGAAGGACAGGGAAATGACTCAGCAGCTTTTGTTTTCACAGAGAACTGCGGTTTGATTCCTAGCACCCATGTTAGATAGCTCACGACTGCCTGTAACTCTAGCGCCAAAGGATCTGCTGCCCTCTTCTGGCCTCCATGGAAACTACATACACATAACACAAGTAAAAAGTAAAATAAACTTTTAAAAAAGTTTCTCTGACAAAAGATGAAACACATAGAGATGCAGTTTGATTCCATGTCTGTATAACAAAAGCAATCCTTTCAAAGATGTCTTTGAGAAGTCAATGCAATCTTTGTGGTTATAAAGAATTATTAGGTATACATTCTTGTCCACCTTAAATAAGAGTTTCTTCAAAACTTAGGATGGCTGGGTTTGGTTTGACTTTGTTTTTAGTAGATCCATTTCTTTAGGTAGATGAATCTGAGAGATTAAACTCATGTCTGCCCTTGGTTACTCTTTGCCTCTGTGTGTATATGTATATATATATATATATAGATAGATATAGATATAGATATAGATAGATAGATAGTATTCTAGAGTTCCCCATAGAGAACTCTAGAATATTGAAGCAGGGATGTTTCCCCTATGCAACCAAGAAGCTTTTCTCCCCCAAATAGTGGTTTTGTTTGGGACACTCATCTTTATTCTAAATTTGGTCAGCTGGCCCGGCTTCCTGGGCATCAGCAGTACCCCAAGGCCTGTGGGAGGCATAGCCAGCCTCTCCGTAGCTCGCTGGGCCATCACATCTCTTTGTAATGAGCACTTACATGTTTTGGCCCACAATCCCCCAATTTCACCCTTGAGTTCCTCCACTCCTCTCTGGTGAATGCCATCTGCTCCTGGTGATTTATCTACATTTGGTGTGTCAATTAAGTAGAAAATCACTTGCACATCTACTGCCCTGTGGGTCCCCAGAACAGTCTGGAAGTGGCTCCTTTACAGCATCACATATGAATGCAGAACCTGAGCTTTTTGAAGAAACCTCATTCTTTATATCAGACTCACTGATTGAAGGAACAATCATAGAGCACCTACTATGTGTCTTCCAGAATCTTCTGTTGTGGAATAATCTTTTTGTATACTGTGAAGATGAGTCACTCTGATTGGTTCAAGAAGAAGCTGAATGGTCAATAGCTAGGCGGGATTTTCGGGGCAGAGAGAATGCTGAGATGCTGAGATGGGATGCTGAGAGATGGAGAAGAAGCAAGGCATGCCGGAGGACAGATAACAGCCACAAGTCACATGGCAGTACATGGACTAATAGAAATGGCTTAATTTAAGTTATAAGAGCTAGGTAGGAACAAGCCTATGCTATAGGCCAAGCTTTTATAATTAATAAGAAGTCTCCATGTCATTACTGGGGAGCTGATGGTCCCTTTGGAAAATCCACCTACAATAGTCTTAACCAGGAAGGCTATGGTGGGGAGACGGGAAGGGAGGATGGGAATGGCTGAAGATCAGTGCAGAGAGCTTAACAAAGGAACTGGGGGATGAGCAGTTTCTAGAGAAGTGGCGAATGGAAGGGAGAGGAAGTGTAGGACTATGGCCCCGGTTGAGGGAGAGATGCAAGCAGGTAACCCGAGTCTCGGCTGCCCTTTCTTTCTGTGTTGTCTTCCTGGGGTTCATTTGCAGAGCCGGAGAGCAGGTACAGGTGACGCTGTGTGGGCTTGCTCTGCCCTCAGATCACACCCTTGAGGCGAACATCGTGGACCAATCAGACACTTCTCTCTACGCCGGTGCGCCTCAACCTTCCTAACCCTCTGACCGTTTAACACAGTTCCACGCGTTGTGGTGACCCCAGGCCATAAAATGGTTAATTTGCTACTTCCTAGCTGTGATTTTTCTACTGTTGTGAATCATAATAAGAATATCAGATAGGCAGGATAGCTGATGTGTGACACCTGTGAGGTGTCAGTTGAGAACCACTGCCCTAGAGTCTGCCTCTCAGAGGGACAGCAGAAGCCACTGGTCCCATGTGAGAGGAAGGTGAGAGATCCAGATAGAGCCAGGGATCTGGAGCAGGGGCATGAGATGGAAGGGGCATGGGGGAAATGCCACATAGCGGATGCTAGGAATTAAACAGATCTCGCAGGGGCTGGAGAGGTGACTCGGGTCGTAAAGGGCTGGCATTGCAGCCACCAAGCCTGGGGACCTGCGTGTAATCCCCAGGACCTATATGGTAGATGCAAAGTACTGACTCCAGAAGTGATTTCTGAAGTCCACACATATGCCATGGCACATACGTACATACCCACACATACACAAGCGCATACACATAAAAAAATAAGAAAATGGAATTTGTTTTTAAAAATCATCTGTGATGACCCATGCCTGTGATTTTAGTGCTAGGGAGGAGGACACGGGAGGGATTCCTGGGGCTCTGTGACCAGCCAACAGAGCTGAGTAGGTAACCTCCAGGTTCAGTGGCAGATCCTGTCTCTAAAGATAAGGCGGAAAGTGATCATGGAAGATATCTAACATTAACCTCTGGCCTCTACATGTACATGCATGTGGGCACACATACACACTCACATGCATGGGTATATGCATGAATACATTGATGCAGAGACACAGAAATAGGAAAAGTTAAACATTTGCCTGTTTTCAGGACGTGGGTTGTCATCGTGGTCTCCACGTCCACGTTGGGAGGAGAAGGCAGGGCTGCTGAGCCCCGGAGCACATCTACAGGAGTCCAGTGGCCTGAGATGAGAATTCAGGGTGAAGAGGTGGGGCCTATGGCAAGTTCCCTTGCTGTTTAAGATATTTGCAGCACACCCCCCCTCAGGGAAAGGAAACTAATTCCAGCCTCATAGTTAGGCTTGCTGTGTCTTTGGGGGTTCCTACCTAAAGCATGGTAAAAATCCCTGCTCTGTTGAAACTCTGGGCTCTCTACATACTTGCTTCCAGACACCAAATGTGAGCCAGAGAAACCTCACTGCTTCCAGGCAAGTTTACTGAGCCAGCTCTGCTTGTAGAAACACGGAATCTGATACTGTTGGCTTCCTCTGTCAACCTGGCTCATACGATGAAGATGGCTTAGAGCAGACAGACTCGAGTGAGTAGTTTTAAGGGCCAGCAAACAGGACATAATATGTGCTTACAACTGCCAGAGCTGCCCCACTGGACATAGAATATATTGGTGAAATAAATCATGGGGTAAGCCATGCACATTCCAGGACTGTTTGTTACAGCAACATAGTGTAACTCATGCTGACTGATGCGTTAGAGGGTGCTCCTGAAGTGAGACAAATTGGGAAAGGTCAAGGGCAAGCAGGAAGCTGTACAGATGGTCTTGAGTGGAATAGGATAACTCAATGGAAGGATGTGAATAGCTAAGAGATGGTCTGGAAATTACTGCGAGAGTGGATAGAGCTTGCTTGTGGCCCCCATGAACTCTGAAGCCAAGTCCCCTTTGCTTTTTAGTTTTCTCCTTCTAAAATGAACATGATAAAGCAGCTCCTGGTAACGGGGTCGTCCTTAGGTCTGAATGAGTTACCCAGGTGCATTACCACTTACATTACCACCCTGGCCACCGTAGATCCTCAGGATGCAGTAGCCAACTCCATTCTAACACTCCTATCCTGCCTGAGCACTTACTGAAGACCCTCACCGCTGACTGACAGTGAAGGAGCTTCCTGCAGCCCACCAAAGAGAAGGCAGGTTCTGAAAGCTACGGGCATGGATGGCCAATGACAGGCATTTAATTCACATTTAAGGCAAAACAGTTGTTAGTAAATTAAACATTGATTGTAAATGAGCCTCCAGTTAAGATTCACTAATTACACCACCAACTCAATTGTCATGCAATTTATATACAATTACCCCAGAACAAATATTTAATTACTTTCCCCATAATACATTGAACTAATATTGTTCATCAAGCTGGTAGATGGGAATGTGGTAACATTTAATTGACGCAAAGATGGGAAATCAGAATTAATAAGACAATGACCATATTGTCTTGTCTCCTGGTGTGACGTGGCTTTAATGGTGATGAGGAGGGGATCAGGAGTGGGAAAGCCTTCATGTCTATGATGGTGGAGGTCGTGGTAGCTGGAACTTCCCTGAAGGGCGTGGTCTAGAATCCTCCAGAAGAAGTGTGAGGCTGTGCCATTGCTTGGACCTGAACCATGGCTCAACTTCTCCCTCCACCCATACTTCTCCAATGATGGTGATCACAACACTATTCACAAAACACACATCCTACTGTTCTGGAAAGTTCTGTCTACAATTGGAAAAGTGACGTGATCTGACTCACCTGTTAGTAGGCCGAGGCTAGAGGTGAGGGCTAGCCTTGGTTCTTTCTGATTCACAGATGTTCTGTCTAATGGAGAAGAAAAGGGCACAGTGAGGCCCCCACAGGAGGAAGCCTTGAGACTCTGGGAAAAGAACAAGCAGGATGGGCTGGGGTAGGGGCTGCCCTGACCGCAGACACTGCTCCTGCTCTGCCCGTTGCCTGGGATGACTCTAGATTCTATCTTATGGGAGAAGTCATGTTCTTCAGCCCCCAGAAAACAGCTCTGTAAGATGAGAGTCTAGAAAAGATGATTCCAGCTCATCATTTGAGAGAAAGAAACAATACTAGGGTGATGCCTACCATTGATGATGGAGAGACTAGGGCGATGCCTAGCACTGACGATGGAGAGACTAGGGCGATGCCTAGCACTGACGATGGAGAGACTAGGGCAATGCCTAGCACTGACGATGGAGAGGCTAGGGCGATGCCTAGCACTGATGATGGAGAGACTAGGGCGATGCCTAGCACTGATGATGGAGAGACTAGGGCGATGCCTAGCACTGATGATGGAGAGGCTAGGGCGATGCCTAGCATTGATGATGGAGATGCTAGGGTGATGCCTAGCACTGATGATGGAGAGGCTAGGGCGATGCCTAGCA